CTTAGATTGGGCGATTTTTCCAACAATGGTGCGTACCACCGCAATCTCCATAGGCATAGGCTAATGCACACCTTAGGTAAAAGAGGATTATTCCATTGGGTGAATACTTGGCTGATGGAGCATGGCGAGCCCAATTGAATTTAAAAGAGTTGCAATAAAATAACGCCATAATGTAGAGGACAAAAATAAAGGTTTAGAAAAATTTAAAAGAAAGAAAAATAATGCAAAAAATAAAAGAAGCGAGATACAAAAATTTATTGTTATCCTCGATAAGAATTATAAAAGGGATTTATATAATGAGACCATTTACGTTTGATAAAAGGAGGTCGCAATTACTTTCAACCATCCGATGTGAAATCTGAAAGTTCGAATGTGTCACAAAGTTTGAAAAGTTTTATTTTAAGACTTGAGCTCAGTCGATGGAATAAATACAAATATCTAATTTCACAACCAATTGTCAAGATTAATTATGGTCATTTTGTGCCAAAAATAAATGATCACATTATATACTTTTTATTATAAAATAACTCAGTGACCAAATAGACCTTTGCTTAAATTATAGAATGTTTTTTTTCTTCTTATCAGTATGGAGTCGTGGAGCTACTAAGTATGAAAAAGGGGCACTTCAAAAAATGGATTAATGAGGTGATGGATAATGAGGTGGTTCAATCGTTGAAAGCCTCGCCAGCAATGAAGAGGCATCAATGGAATGTCCCAAAATAAGAAAACAGAGTTATCAAATGGAAAAGTTCTTTTCGACCTTGTTGTGTTTGAGACAGTAGAGCACGTTTTTATTTTATTTTATTTTAATATAGAGACAAAAAATCACATTAGAGGTGATTACTATTTGGCTATAGTTTATAGTTATTATTTATAGTTGAAGCATATTGTGACACTCCATCACCTGGCTTTGAACCCTTTTCTATAGTTGTGTTTACTTTGTTAAAATAAAGGTAAGGCTAGAACCAAAAGTGAGCAAATAACTTTTTTTCTCTTTTTTCCTTAAACATGGAAGAGAGAGAAATTATATAGAATGAAGAAGTTTATAGAGGTAGAAACTATTGTAGAGAGTAAGAGTGTCACAATGAAGGTGCATGATACTTGTTGTTTTCTTATTTTATTATTGCAAATTTATCAAACTACCCATAAGAGATAAATTATTTAAATTTTTTACCCTTTTGCGACTACTCTATGCCATGATCGTGTGTTTTTTAATGGGTATTTTATAATTAAACCAAAAGACATGGGTGAAATGTTTAATAGTTCGTATATTATGACTAATTTGATATATTTCCCTTTTATCAAGGTAATTGGCTACCTCGGTTCCCCATTTTTCATTGGGGTGCTCTCGACGATCTAATTTAATGAAGAATGGATAGAATCGATGAAGTATATGTACAATTCTCATTAGAGCATGTTCTACAATTATATAACTATAAAAAAAATAAATAGAAAAAATAATGACTAATATATCTATACAAAATTCAAGGGTATTTTGATCATTTTATGTATTTAAATTATAAAATTATCAAAAACAACTATAGGAGATGAACTATTTAACATTCGATCTATTTGCAACTATTCTAACTCAAGATCATGTGTTTTTTTACGGTATTTAGAAATCATATCAAAAGATATAGGTAAGTCTTAAAGTGTTGAGAATTGTTCATCTCTCACAAGTAATTTGATAAGTTTTTCTTAAAACTATTATTTTTATTCTTGGTGCATGATGACAAGATATAAAAATACACAAAATTCGAGCTTAAATCGATGTATAAAAAAAAGTGGGACATGAGCATAAATATGAAATATTGAGGATAATTTTTAAATTCTACAAAATATAATTGATATTTACATAAGATTTCCTTAATTTTATTTTTCTCTACGTTATATTGATTTCAAATTTGAGGCATTCATACTTCTCACCATCCGAAAAAAATATTTTGTAAAAGAAATAAAACTATAAAGATACCTTTGAAACTTGTAGTGGTGTTTTAGTTTATTTTTTTTATTATTGATTTAATGGAAACCCCAAATTTGAACTTAATCCAATGGATAAATAAAAAATAAAAGTAAAATGCACATTTTCCTATCAAAAGGTGGAATTCGAGGATAATATATGACGCATATGAAAGTATTTTTAAATTTCAGAAATAAATTACAATTTCTATATATGTCCCTTTTTTTTTAGAGTGGCCCGCAGTATGGTTCATTCTTGAACTTAATAGATAAAAAATGGATCAATGTAACTGTCGTCAACCATATTACATAAACAATTGTGACTCATTAACAAAATTGAGACTCTTAACAGTCAGGAGATGTGATTCTTCATTAAATTGTTGCAATGAATAGTAATGTTTCAATTCATGAAAGGATATTACTACTTTTCACATAAAGAACTCAAATATCTTATTCAAAATAACATTATTCTTAACCATTTTTTTCTTTTTATTACTCGTTTTCTCTCTTTAAAGAAAGGCAGCCCTCTTTTGCTTAGCCATTATTGTTATTCTTGCTTTATCTTATGTTTTTTTATATCTTGATGATGAATTTACTCGAATCATATATGTGTGCTAATTTGTATAAGAGTAATGATTATATGGGACCCTCCTACACCCATATCTGTAGGACCCCAAAGGATCACCATTAAATTTGACACAGATTTTTTAAAAAAACCATCACATGGGTGTGAGACTTGACTTTTCTAAAGATTTGTGTCAAATTTAATGGTGATCATTTGGGGTCCTACACATAGATGTGGGAAGGTCTCACAAGGTCATTTCCCTTTGTATAAATATGGAAGTAAAAAATTATATTGAAAAATTGTATCGGAGACATGCAAACAGGAAAAATAATGTTTATCATTGAGATTGTATACTACGAGACCATTTATTTTTTATACAAAGATGTCACAATCATTTGTAGCCATTGGATGTGAAATCTAATAGACTGAAGTGTATTACAACGCTCAAGAAATCTTATTTTGGACTTTGTGCCTAATCAACGATACATCTTCAACAAACTAATTTCACATCCAACAATTAATATGTTTATAGTCTTTTTATATCAAAAGTAAATAATCTTATTATATACATTTTCTATTGTTCATTGACCATCTCGGTGCAGCAATTGGCTGAACACCCTCACCTCTCGCCGTTAACATATCGAAAAAAAACATTATCATTAAGCACTTTTAGGTGACTCATATTAGGGCAAATGCATATATTGTTTAGGCCACTCCTAGCCACTTGATCAAGAACACATATATCATGGTAAGGGATTATTTGGTATTTTCATCAGCTTGCTTTAGGTTTCTAACGATTTAGGACTCAAAATACTTCCTTGATTACAGTAAATCTGAGAATCGAATGCGTTATAGCTTTGATGATCTTCATAAATTTAAAATGGCCAGTTAAAAAAAGTATAAAATAAACGCTCAAAATTTAAAATTTTCTCAAACTTATGGTTGCAGTGGTCTAGACAAATGATAGAATGTGCAAAACTTTAAATCCAAAATCCATCTTTCCATCTTCAAGATGGATTTAAAGTAAGGCCTCAATGTAAAATATGGTTTTCTAAATACGCAGGAGAAAGTTTCTCAAAAGGTATGAAATGTATTATGGGAAAGGTTTCTATGCTTTTCCTACAGCATAGAAGTTCTATCCTCCCCCTACCATCCAGCCGTCCAATTTTGTTGAAGAGATCCAATCACCGTTTGATCTCAGATCCGACGTCTCAAAGTATTTTATTTTTAGTTTTTTTTTTATATAAATTGTATGTATATGAAATTTAGTACCCGCCATCTTCTCATTGGGATGCACCTACAAAAAATATTAAAAATAAATTTTCAATAAAATATAATGACCAAAATACCCATTTAATCTTTCAGGGGTATTTTGATCATTTTATTTTATTGAAAATATTTTTTTTATATTTTTTGCTAGTGCGAGTTTAATAGAGGAATGAACGTCAAAATTTTGTTGTCAAAATAGCTTATAGAACAAAAAATTAAAAATAAAATAGAGTAGAGAGGTGTCATTGTAATTGGAGCAATCTTAGCCCTCCATTCATAATGGACAGTTGGATAAGGAGGATGATAGAATTTCTATGCTGTTGGGAAAGCTTGCCCATGTACTATCCCCTAATTTCATGAGAAAGTTTCTCAAAAAGTATGCAACCCTAATTTCATGAGAAAGTTTCTCAAAAAGTATGCAATGTACTGTCCCATAATTTAACAATGGATGGAATCAACAATAAAACAGAAAGTCATCAAATTCAGAAAGTATAAACTATTTTATATTCTACCCGTTGATTTAATGCAAAAAACCCATAAAAATAACTATGTAATGAGTTGGAGTACTGGAAAATGTGTAATTAAAATTTAAATTATTATAAGTTGGAACATTTTAAAATCGGTAAAATATTCAAGGCAAAGCTTTATTATATGTGAACCCAACCCATATTTAAATTTATGTGCTATTTCTTAGTTGTTCGATTTGAATGGACGGTTAGGATTGCTCGTCACAATGTCATGCCATAATGATATTGGATTTTAAAATATTTTATCTACAAAGCGTTTTTTAGCGAATTTGGGGCATTCCATCTTCTTCTTGGGGCATGCCTAGCCAAAAAAAAAAAATATTGTGAAAATAAATGACCAAAATACCTCCAAAAAATTTAAGGATAATTTTTTATTAAAAGAAATATTTTTTATTATTTTTATTACATGTGCCCCCATCAGAGTATGTATGCCGCAAAAAGATCTATAGACTAAAGATTAAAACTAAAACACTCTAAGCCATTGAACCAAGACCTAATACTCGAGAGCATTGTGACATTGTGACTCAAGCCATCCCAACCATCTACTCCGATCTAACGGCTGAGCAGGGGCACGTATAGTTATATGTGGGTAAGATCAGCTTCCACAATATTGAATAGTCAGTAAATTAGTTGCATAGATAAATTTCTCACGAAAAAATTAGATAAAAAGAAAAAAGTAATCGAGAAAGTATGCAATCCATATTTTCCCACCACAATGAAAACTCAAAAGTATTTACAACCCAAACTTTTAATCCAAAACCCACCGCCGAAAAATCACACCTGGCCGGAATTTGGGATACGACCTCCGGATTCCGATAGTGTAGTGGATTCCGGCTGCCGGAATCTGACAGCAGCCAACCTCATACTTTCAATTAGCGCCTCGGTATCACTTTGTTCCGCCAAAATCTCAGCCAATTGCTCCCTACTCATTACCAATCTTACCCTCCACATGCCCCTTCCCTTCGACGGCAATACCTCAAAGCTCGGCCGACGGAATATTTCCTCCGCCGTTGCCTCCCCTGACGAAACCCTAACGGGCCCTAACGTCTCCCCCTCCGTCAATTCTTTTGCTGCTTCCTCTTCCAATGATGGGGATTTGTCCATCTCTAACGGGGCTTTCTCTGTGCTCAACGGAAGGAGGTAGAACAACTGGCCGTTTGGGAGCCAGGCGTGGCCCGGTAAGGACAGGGAGACGTTGCCTGGACGGAATATTCCGTAGCCGGGGAAGTTTTCAGTGATGGAGGTTACCTGCAAGGGGCCCTCAAACTCCATGATCCCGCCGGATTCCGTTAATACCCTCACTGAATCTTCGTATTCTCCGTAAAGCCCCTTCCATGAGCAATTTCCCATTCTTGTTTCCCGGTGAATAAAGTGGCTTTTTCCGGCGAATTTTTTTATTTGAGGTTCCGGTTCGTCTTCGATGAGAGGGAGTGTCACAGTTGATTTAAGAGACGCGGAAGCAAGGGACATTGATTTTATTTTATTTTTTTTCTCTCTGGGGAAGAGGACAATATTAGCTGGTTCTTTTACGCTTGTTTGAATTTTGAGATTTGTTTTGTTCGAGGGTTTGGACAAAAGTGATGCAGGGTCCCAACGGTCACTAGAACGTTGGGTTTAATTTGTATTTTGCCGACCAATTGGAGGGCTCCGATTTTATCAAGTGTAAGCCACAGGCCCATTTTGGAACAGGGGTGTTAATGCTCGTCGGGTCGGCCTCCACCCTCACCCGACCCCCGCCCAATAACTTGGTCCTAGCCGGACCTACACCTGCTATGCATCCATGTCCGGGTCTAGATAAAAGAAAAATAAATTTTATTAAAAAGATTTGTATTGACCTGAACCTAATCTGATCTTGACCTGGATCTAGGTCATTTGGAGCTGGATCTAATCCATGAGGTCCGATATATGAGTCTAGACCCAGGGCGACCCATTTGGTGAATTGAACTGACCAATTGCCCCATAGGTTGGCGGTACAAAACTATGGGATTGACACTTGTTGATATAGTAGTGGTGTTAGAATATGCCATTAAGGTTTTATGGGAATGTAATGGGGGGATTATCTTCAAAGAGACTATTTTTTTCTTTTATACATAGAAGTCACAATCATTCTTGTTTCTTATATTTCAAAATGTACGATTGTAAGAGTGTCTTGAATAAATAAAAAGTTCCAAAAAAAATTTCTCGGACTTCACAGCTCACCACAAGCCATCCAATTTGACATCTAATGAGTGTGAATGATTGTGATTTCCATGTACAAAAAATAAACGTTATCTCTATATACAATCCAAATTGAACGTTCAGGATTTGTAGCATGTAGCTTGTTAAATTGTGCCCCTTGAGACATCTACCGACAGAGATCTGGCCCAAATATTCCATCATGCATTTGCATTTATTGTAGGGAAAGGTTTATATAGACCAGAGGATCTCAACAATCAAATTAGAGCCTACCTATTGTTTTGATGCTCAAATATCATCAAATTGATCATCTCAACATCAAGACGCATTAACATGAGAAAAAAAATGGATTTCAAGTTTTGATAATAGCAATTTTTGTAACGCATTTTTTGTTAGTCAGTTTTCAAGATTTTAAATTTTTCATAGATCTGGAAATATATTTTAAAGCTATCACAAAGATTTTCAATATTGAAATAACATTTCTCGATACTATTTAGAGGTAGGCTCTAATTTGATTGTTTAGAGCCTAGGCTCTATACAACCCGCACCTTTTATTGTAAAGGACAACATTTATATAGAGCTGAGGCTCTAAACAATCAAATTAGAGCCCATCTCAAAAAATTCACTAGAAGATATTATTTTGATGTCTAAATATCCTCAAATTGATCATCTTGATATCAAGATACATGAACATGAGAAAAAAATAGATTTCAAGTTTTGGAAATAGTGCATCTTGTAATGCATTTTTGGACCGTCAATTTTTAGGATATTCATGTTTTCATAGATCTGCTCAATCTGCACTATTTTTAAGCTTTACATTTTATAATTTAAAATAAAAATATATTTTAAAGTGATCACAAAGAATTCTAGTATTAAAACCACATTTCTCTATAATAGTTGAAGGTACGCTTTACTTTGATTGATTAGAGCACCTATTATAAATAGAGAATCAGTCTCGATGCTAAAAACTTGGAACCCTCTCTTGTTGGCCAAGGAAATAGATAAATATGTATGTTTTAAGCACGCACACAAAATTCACACTTAAAAAGCCTCGATCTCCATTATGTCATTGCACACACAAATCTCTCTGTTCCAATCCCTGGACCTCCATGCACGTTTAAGTGTCAATTTGGATCGGAATCATTATATCTGGATTGGGTTTCATCGGGTCCCAATTGGTTCTTGCTAAATATCAAGAACCGGCTGGATCCCCCATGAATCGGTTGGTTCCGGCTGATCCCTTGATACAACTATTCGGTTCTATCAGAGCGCCGGTCAAAACCAGAACTACTTTTTATAAATTTTTTCAATTATTTATAAATTTTTTAATCTCATTATCTGATTTGAATCGCCTATCCGCCTAACCAAATCGAAAATCCAAATAAACAACCCAGATTAGCAATCCGTTTTTTAAAACCTTGCATTGAAGCATCGGCTCAGTTGCCAAGGTAATTCAATAATGTCATCCGCACACATCCCAAGACTGGTTCGTTCCTCAAGGTAAGTCAATAACTACTACCTTGTGCATCTGCTTGTCTTCTTGTGTTTGTTCGAGGGCGTAGTCGCCACCATGAGTCCCGCTTGAGTCCCCCTCTCACAAACCACTTTCTTATTGCTGCCGTTTCTCATGACAAAATCGGATGGGATCATGTTTGATTAGTAGGAAAAAGTAGTCCCTCGAGGTGTTTTTGAGAGATTTGGGAACTGAAGCACGACCAAGGTGTGTAACCTGCAAACCCATTTTGCCTTTATATCTAAGAATTGGGGGTTCTAAAATCAAGTCCAATTTCTATGGCCTCTGAAGAAATAAATTGCATGTCATAAAATAAAATTTATTTTTAAAGCTCAAATTTAATTTTTCAGATTAAATTTATGCTTTTCAAATTCATGATCGTGTTGTGTTGCAACATTTTAGACCAAAAAATCCATCTCTTGAGATGATTTTGGGAGGGTGGACTCCTGTAAGAGGTACGTATGTTGCACCAAACACCCTACTCTTATTATGATTATGAAATATTTTTTATGTTTTTGTATAAGGTGTCAGACCTCATACTATGGAAGTGAGACACACCTCAGAAACCTTTTAAAAAAGGTTATTGTAGTGCTGGAATAATGGACTTGATGTTTTAGAACATTGTGTAATAAATTATCCAGATTGTTAATGTTTCATATTTTCAAGTGTTTATATATACTCGATTTGTACAATATTGGGAGCTTCATATTTCATAGTTAGGGGTGAAAGAAGATTTTTCGGCCATCATCCTTCAATGCAGTTTGGAGTTGCTCCTTAGATAGGCATCTTATATAAGGGAAATGTCTCTATGCTTCCCCTATAGCGTAGAAGTTCTATCCTTTCGCTACCATCCAGCTGTCCAATTTTGATCAAGAGAGCCACTCACCATTTGATCTTAGATCCGATGTCTCAAAGTATTTTACTTTTAGTTTTTTTTACATCAGTTGTATGAATATAAAAGTTGGTACGTGTCATTTTCTCATTGGGGCGCACCAATAAAAAATATTTAAAAATAATTTTTTTATAAAATATAATGACCAAAATACCCCTTGAAAATTTCAAGGGTATTTTGATCATTTTATTTTATTGAATTTTTTTTTTCTCCAGTGCGAGTTTAATAGCGGAATGGACGTCCAAAATTTGGTATCAAAATAATTTACAAAAAAAAAATTTAAAAATAAAATAGTGTAGAGACGTAACATTGTGATGTGGCAATCTTAGCCCTCCATTCAGAATGGACGGTTGGATAAAGGGGATGATAGAACTACTATGCTGCAGGAGAAGCATATATAAACCACACCCATTGTATCACCTTTAGGAGAATTTTTTTCAATCTAGTAGTTTGGCATTTTTCTCAAAATCAAAGTAGATTTTGATTTTCTAATCACTCAGATCTACTTGTCTAAAAATTAAGATTTTTTTCTTGCTTTTTTATTTTAATGTTGATAGGTTAATTAGGCTATATTTCGTTAAGGAGGCTAGAAAATACTCTAAAATAGAGTTTGCTCGAGGGAGTGTACACCCGATCAAGTAATCTTTTGACTTTCATTTTTAAGATCCACTTACAGGCTTCACGAGCTTCACTTTAACCATCAATGAAGTGAAAAGGGCAACGAAAAGGAGATCTAACCAATGGGTGGCAATTGGATTAGGTCAACCCAACTTGGGTTTGAGCTTAGAAACAAATATTGGACCTCTTGGATTTATCTAGGTCCGTATGACTTGGAGACCACCTAGGTTATTTCCAGGACCATCCTGGACCTTATGGGGTTGGGTCAGTTTTGGGTCAAGGTTAATTTGACTCAAGCCAACCTAATACGTATATATAATGACTAATGATCCTATGAGACCCTCCCACACGTATGTGTGTAGGACCCCAAAGGATCACCATTAAATTTGGTACAGATCTCTAGAAAAGTTATCACATGGGTGTGAGATTTGACGTTTTTAGATATATGTGCCAAATTTAATGGTGATCTTTTGGGGTCCTACACACATGGGTGTTGGAGGGTCTCATTGGATCATTTCTCATATATAATATATATGTATGGGAGAGTTCAAGGTCAGTCGGCTAGCTGACAAATATGGTAAACGCCAAATGGCCCAAATTAAATTTGGACCGTTATAATGGTCACGATTACATTTCGTATATAAATTTTAATTTTCTTTTCAAATCTAATTTACTAATGCCTTTAAAAATTATTAGGGTATTTTGGTTAATTTATTTTTATAATATTTTCTTAATATTTTTATTAGGTGTGCTTTGATGAGAGGAGTGGACGCTCCAAATTTTAAGTAATTCGAATTAAAAAAAAATTAAAATAAAAAAACGAAATATAATGATGACCATCAGATCAACCCAATTTTAATTTGGACTGTTATGCTTACACTATTCCATTAGCTAGTGGGCTGACATGATCTTTTCCTTATATGTATATATGTGCATTATTATTTATATATTACCAAACATTTTCAATAATTTTTTATGTTTTATCTAAACACAAACACGACCAGACCACCTGACTCTACTGACCTAAACCCCACATTGGCTCAGGTCCAAGACAATAGGGGTATAGCAAGGACGTAGTTGGATCGACCAGGCCCCAACCTGACCTGTTAACACCTTGTAATCTAACTGTCCCTTTTGTATTTTTGATCCCTAGTGTCTCGCATTCACAACATCAATGATGTGAAAGGATAAAACTTTTCATATGTTTGAAAGAAAGGAGGCTCTATCGTATCCACCTTTAATCTGCATTGGTTCCAGATCTGTTCAATCTGCTAGCTTTTTTAGAAATTTATCAAACAAATATCCAAGAAATGACCTACTTAACATTCATAT